ATGGCGAAGGGGCGGGGTTAGGGAGAGAGGGCGAAAGGACCTCCTACTCTCTCCCTCTTACTCTCTTCCACGTTTGTTTTCCTCCGTTCCCCATTTCGCGCCACTGTCCGATCCACTATCCACTATCCACTATCCACTATCCACTGTCCACTGTCCACTACGCCTGGAATAGGCTAGTTCATAGTGGGCCAGAGAGTTTTTTTCCAATGGCAATGCAAGGGATCTATAGATGTCCATTTAGGAGCATTTGCCATTTTTTAAAGCTCATGATCACGCTGCAACTATTCCTGCTTTAGCATTTTTTTTTCTATTTTCCGTTTTGCTGTAGAGGAAAGTTTTTGGTGATTTGTTTTTGATGATGGTGTTTCATCGTCGATCGAAACGAGTTAAAATGTTTTCTGAAACGTTCGTTACAATGTAACTTTATAAGCGTGATAGTAATACGTCGAAACGGACATTTATACTTATACATAATTACTTGAAAGAGAAAACTCGCAAGAGAAAAAAGGGTTCTAATTAGTTAATTTTGGTTATCCCCGTCTTAAATTTAACGTATTTATGCCTTTTGACGCATGCTTAAATTAATAAAACACACCACTGTACTTGTTTAAAGTTTGTTTTCGTTGGGCTCCGGTCGTCGACGTCTTGCCGACGTCGCTCAAAAAAGCCGACTTTTGGGCAATTCTACACTATATATTGTATCCAAACACAATGACTCTTCTAAATAAGATAAGTGTAGTGAAAGATGTTATATAGATTGTACGCTGGAATTTGGCATGTGATCAGCGTTGAATGGAATGTTGAAAGTGAATCTGTCGTTAACACCGCTGGCGTGACGGGCCGTGTCACGCTATTTTTAACCACTGGAATGTCGCTATTTTTCGCAAAATTAGGGTTGAACTCGGCGTCTTGCGGGCTACTTAAAATCGTTTGCCCAGAGATTTGTTTCAATTTTCTGATATATTGGGGCCTAGTTAAGCCGTAGAAAGTCAATTTGCGAAATTCTAAGTTATAGCGCATTGTAAAAATTTATATTATTTTAACCCTATAATTTTGAACGGTAGAAATTGTCAATAGGGGCTATTTTTAACAATACCTTTTTGGCCGCAAACTTATTACAGCTTTCACAAATTTATCGTCTTATAAGAAAGAAAGGGTCATAAAAACTATTCGTGTTCTACAAAGGCTGCCAAATCGTTGTGGTTTGACGTACGAGTCAATGGAATTTGCGTAAAATTTCGCTTTACCGGAAGTGGATTTTGAGCTCCGAACGGCCAAAATGAGTTTTCTCGAATTTTAACAAAAGAATACGTTATTTGGGAAAACTAACTACAGCATGTTTCATTACTCATTAAGGGTTATCGATGAGCCAAAAATGAGCGAAATTCGAATTTTGAACTTGTGCCACAAAAAGTCGATTTTGGTCGATATTTACAGACAGTCGCTCTTAAGTGTTATAATATGATTTTTCCTGGAGGAGGGGGTGGCTGTACACACTCTGGCCACTAAATAGCCTTGTCGCTGACCATTGCGTGACATAGCATCTCATAATTATGAGAGTGAAACATAAATTCATTTGAACATTGTACTCTTTTGAAAGACTTTCGTAACAAGAAAAGTGAGTACCATTTTAAAGTTGGGGCTGTATAGTAACTTTTCAATCCTACCATTGTGAATAAAAATAAGCAAGTTAGCCATTCTAAGCAGGAAAGGATTAGCGTTATTTTCACGCACCTCTCCCCCAATCCTTCTGCCCCCCAAATATAGTGTGACAGTGTGACGGTATAACCTGACTAATTTGACCTAACCGGAAATTCCTAAAATTTTTGTTGTTCTACGGGTCATACAACGCTGTTAACATGCAGTACATTTCTCAATTCCGGTTATTAAAACTAACAAAGCAAATTAAATTCAAGTTTTGTTTTTGTCTGATATTGCGTTTAAATCCCTTCTAACTGTCCTAGTGAATATATATATAATTTTTTTTTGACGTGGTGATCTACAATAAGCACATTCCCCGGGACATTCGTGTGATTCGTTTCCTGTCTGAGGAATGTCGACTTTGCACAACACTTAATGCAAGAATCGCAATAAGATAAAAAGAGACATTGGCCGTCACATTTTAAACGGTTTAAACCTCAACATAAAGCGAAAGCAACCCATCCTACCATCTTGAAAAAGGCACTAAAAGAGTGCCAATGATAGCTTGAGAGACGTCCTTATTCAATGGATACACACTCACAGCTAGCTAGCTAGCTAGCTAGCTACACACAGAGAGAGATTTGTAATCACGTTTTTGAAGAAAAAAACTCATTAAAAAGTTTAAACCCAAAAAGGTACCCATCGTAGCATCTTTTGAAGGAGATGATGAAAATGCACAATACGCTAGCTTCAAAAACATCTTTACTTAATGGCTACCTTCGCTTAACATTAATTATCATTACCAAGTTAATAATTGATTGTGTCTATGCACTTATCAGCGGCCATCCGGGCAGGGGGGACCCCGGGGAACTCCCGGTCATTTGCATAAAGACGTTTACAAATCCCCCTCTACCCAAAACCAAGATTGTTTAAGAAAACGCTACTAACGCCCCTCCCCCTGGGGGCAAAGAAGTGTGCTCCGCCAAGTCAAAAGATGCAATATTTCAAAAGAGTTCTATTTGTCATAATTAATTTTCTATTTGCTACAATTATACATATAAGAGTTAATTTAAAATAAGCAGAGAAAGCTATTCCGTTTGTTTTCTACATATGAGGTTCAGCTTACCTTTTAAGTCATGGAATGGGAAAGGAGAGAATATTCTTGTTCGGCCTGGTAACGGAAGAACTAGGATTCCTTGAATGTATTTTGAAACGCTTTATATTATAAATATTTATAGACATTTACAAATCCCGCAGGTCTTCCCCCGGGGATCCTGCTACGAAAGTGCAAAAGCAATCCAATCCCCCCATCCCGGACTTAAAATTATCTAACAAAGTTGACAAATCCCGCGCCATGCCCGCCTATGTCCCCCGGGTACCCTCCCCCCCCCCCGGGATGGTTGCTGATAAGTGCATTATCATCATGACAACGAAAATTCACGTTTGATTACTCCCTTACATTTGCCTTATAAGTATTGATCTGCATAAGATCTAGTGTCAGGATTTGGGGAGCCGGACAACACACCCCACTACGAATTCCCAGGAATTACCCCCGAATTGCTCAGTTAATAATTGATAGCGTTCATTTTCTGAACCAAAAATCCCGGTGGGCACTTCCTTACTTTTTCTTTTTAGGTATTGGTCTGAAATAGAGTCTAGGGTGAGGATTTGGAGAGTCAGACGACACATCCCCACCACAAATTGCTAGGAATGCTCCCCGAAAAATATCGAAGGTATTTTATAATCTGGGCCCACCTGCGGCAAGCCCAGTTAAATAGATTGTAGAGGTCAAGGCTCGAGGGAGGGGTACTCTACAAATGTCTATACGGGGAGGCTGCGCCCCGAGGTCCAACCCCTTACCTATTTATATACCATTTTTCACGAAAAAAGGTACCCGTTTCGTAAACCTTCTATTGACAAATGTTACCCCTTTCACATACCTTGTTTAGAACTTTGCATCCCTTTTAACTGCTGTAAATGCACTGTCTTTTACTAGGAATCAATCACAAAAAACACCCGTTTTCTCAACTTTTTAAAGCCATAAAAATCATCTGTTTGCCCTTCTGGGCCCTTTTACAGACCCAAATAACAGATGTCCCTACCCTTTTATATGCCTGAAGCCTGAAGAAGATACCCCTTTCGGGCGGGGCTTCTCCGTATAGGCCATCATAGGGAGTACCTCCCCCCCCGGGGGTCAAGGCCTTACTCAATATGATCTCAGTAACTGCCTTCATCAGTGATATTAGTCACCTTCGCAGTTCGGAATGCATTGCTATTTCATTTAGCCTCAAAAATACCACAGCATCTTGTATATTTTAAACAGTAATTATATTTGGCTAAACCCTTAGTACTGAAGTAAATGACAGGTGAAACACTGACTATCCTCAAGTATCAAGTATTCTGAAATGTCATGCGTCTCTTCGCCCCACTCCCCAAGTGATCAAGCTTCCTTAGAAACCCCGCTCAACTTGATTGAGAGGCAAGTTATAATTCTCAAGCCACTTAAGGCATGACTATACAATTAAATATGCATATTTTGATAAAATGCTATTTAGAACGGTTTGCTTCCATCAATGACCCTGAAAATTGAACAACAAATGTACTTTAATTGCCTTAGCAATATGAGACATCACGAGACATTTTAGAAGCTCAAATTTTCGTCACGTGACTGACAATGGAAAATCAACGGTCAAAATATTTACTCTAAAATGGGGAAAAGATAATGAAAGGGCAACCGGTTCTTTCAGGTACATTTCAGAGGCTATTAAAAAGGTTCTGAAGAATTCGCCTCGCATGTGTGTTTACGTTATATGGGAATCGTTAAATAAAGGGAAAAGGGTCACGTGACATATTTATTAATTAAATAGATAATAGGATAAATAACATTTCCAATCATACAAGGTGGATTTACGATTTACAATGTTTATGTAACATTTTGGTAGTGAAAATTTCTGAGATTAAAGTTTGCAACCATTCGCCGTTTAGGAAAACGTGTTTTGTGACGTTATTGACGAGGCAATGTCACGTGTTATTTGAAATCACGTTTTACTTGTTTTTTTTTTTTTTGCTTGAGCCACAATTGTAATTCACTTTTCAGGATCAGTGATGGAAGCAAACCGTTCTAAATAGCATTTAACAAAATATGCATATTTAATTAGGAAGTCATGCCTTTAGTGACCTGATGAATTCAAAAATTCACACGTGAAGGAAGTCTTAATGATATAATGAGCGCACGTGATCAGGCGACAGAACTTAAAGGCTTCTCGTCCAAAAGACACTTCTAGGAAATGCTTTAGTGAACCCCATGCTAAAGCCATCGACTGCCATCAAAGTAAATCGGACTTGAGGCTGAATTGGAAATGGATGACAAGGAACCCTGCCAGACCACATTCTGTAAAGCACTTCCCTTGAGTGGAGAAGGAATTGTATCAGCTAACATTCAGAGGAGCACTCCTTTTGCCATTCGCATTAGACCAGCGCCATGCGGGGATGACAACGACATAAGTGATGCAGAAAAAGATAAACTTGGGTACGTGGAGGTAGAAATTAAGCCTAAAGTAGCAGTGTTCAAATATCGGAAGCCTGATGGTGAGAAAGGATATTTAGCTCGCCCAACCGGGGAAAATGGAGGTCTAGAGATCGATAAAAGGGTATCCCATTGGTTCAGCTTCAATAGAAATGACCGGATCCTTAAGTACGGGAAGGGCTATTTCATGAAGGAGACCACGCTATTGGATACAGAAGAGTCCTTATTTCCAAAAACTAAGGGCGAGAATGACCCGTGGAAGTTCATCTTTCGTCCAGATGAGAGCAAAGAGATTGTCACAAAAGATGTGGATGACATGAAACGGCTGGTGGTTCTCGAAAGTCCATGGGAGGGGAGGAGGGAGAGGCTAATGTCAGTGCAAGGCGTAAAAGAAAAAGACATTGACGACTTGTTGAACTCCATTCCTTGTGCTGAGCGATCTGAGCTGACAGCTAGAGTGAGTGTGGAGAAAAAAGTGTCGTTCTACCCTCATCCCTTGACCTACAACTGGTCTCCGTTCGTGCTTGATAGTTCCAAGGCGACTCTTTCGGAACGGGCGAATAATCGCTTCGTGCTGTCAGCCAGCCTTCCAGAGACCTCCAAGAACTGTACGCGAATATTGCCTCTCCAGACGTGGCTTTGGACTGGCCCTACAGCATCCCTAGACTGTCGGACGCCATCAACTACAGCATCAGCACAGAAGGCAAGATTCTTAACGAAAAACTGAAGGAAAAGGGGAAAGATCACGGAATGTCATACCTGAGAGTCACTTTAGGACCCAATCGTGGCTCATCGCCCGGCGTACCGTACGTGTTGGAGATTTGGCCTGCGAATTCTGAAAGCCCCATCCACAATCATGGCAATGCGTATGCCGTGATCAAGGTTCTACACGGGGCAATAAAAGTCACCATCTACAACAAGACCTGGAATTCCGAAGATAAACAACAAGAGCTGACAAGTTTCACAGCAAAGCAGGAAGATGTAACATGGATCTCTCCAAACTGGTTCCAAACACACAAGCTGACAAATGAGTCCAGCGATATGTATTGTGCCACCATACAATGCTATAAGTATGGCTGTGAAGAGGAGCTCATGTGGCCATACTTTGATTATCTGGATGGAAAGACAGTGAAGGAGTTCCTACCCGATAGCGATTTTGATTACACGAAACTGCGAGAAGACTTACTGGAGGAATATCGCAGAGATCACTGTGTGGTGAAGGCCAAAATCTGAACAAACTGAACTAGTTTTCGTTACTGGTACACTTTATGAGGCGAATTTAAAAGTTGCGTTATAAGCCCGGCTTTTCAACAATCAATTTAATTCTAGTTTATTCTGCAAGAAGGTGTTTATCGTTAGGTCTTAGAAAAGTGTTTAGGTCCTTTGGGCGAGTGTCACAGTATCTTATCACAGACTGTCCAGCTATGTGTTATACCCAGATTTGTTTGGAAGACCCCATTCGTGTTTATTATGTCCAGTTCCTCGTATTATTTTGTTGGGGTATGAGACAGCTCTTGTTTGAAAGAGAACTACGGCTACAATTATAGAAAATCAAGAGCCACTATGGCTCTTGAGAAAATGTGCGAATTTTAAACTCAGTAACTTCGCTCGAAATTCCGGCCTTCCCCTGAATTTTTTTTAAACTTTCTTCTATGGTAGGATTATAAATTTATGAATAAATGGCAAAAATACACCCGTCTTTGGTTGAACGGCTGTACACGATATAGACATACCGTAAATTTCCGCTTATACCGGCCCTACATTTATAAGCCCCTCCCCTAGTTATAGACCCATCTACCCGTAAGAAATAACCCCCCTCTAACTTGCATTGAAATGAGTTCGATTTTTAACGACCTTTTGAACGTTAGTGGGAATCTTGTCTTATATCGCATTGCGATGGATAAAAAACAGAAATATCCGAAATTTTGGCCAAAAAATAAACTGTATATTATTATTTTCGCCAAAATGCATTTCAGGGAGTTAACATCGCAAAAATGACAAGTCATGCATGGTTTCAACACCTTGTGCATTGCCAAGGGTAATAATCGCAAAATGGAAATTAAAATAGCGTGACATTCTCAAAAAAACAGGAAATTGATGACGTTAAGGGACCTTTCCTTAGGAAATGAGCCATCAAATCGCTATTGTTATAAGGCATTTTGCCGAGAAACAGGTTTTGAAGCTGACGCCAAACTATTTAATTTTTTACCTCGAAATTATCGGTTCCCGATCACTGAATGGGGGTTCCCCATGAATTTTGGATAGGGGTGTGCCGCGAAGGTTCGTGGACCCTAACCCTATTTAAGGACTAAGAAAGCGAAAACTGATACCCTTTTTAAGGCCGAAAGCCGAAAAATGACACCCTAGTCAAGGAAAAAAAAGAATTATTAATAGCATGAAAAGGAAAACTTTATTTCTTCTCTGTAACACTAGATGTATATCATCAAGCATAAAATACTAGAATAAGCCTAGTTTTAAAAAAAATGTTCGTTTAGGCGGGCGTTTTCACACTCCAGTATTAGATACTACAATTAAGCTACCCTATCTAAGGACCACACCAGGGACACAGAAACAAAAGGGTCAAAAAAGATACCCTATTTAAGGACCGAGAACCTCAAAAACCATACCCTATTCCGCGGCACGTACCTATATAGCCCATATGTGGGAGTACCTCCCCGGGCTCCCGATCCACTAGATATGTATCCATGCGCGCCGGCGGCTGATTGCTGCCTGCCTTGTAATATTTTCCTCGGCAATTTTCTCCGATTTTCAGTACATAAATCTTTAAAAACAAAAGCAAACAGCCAATGAGCGAGGACACCAGTTTTCCTGGTTTATATTTTACAAAAAGCGAAGGCAAACAACCATTTTGTTACCTTTTTAATAATGCCAACAAAAATTCCTTGACCAGCGATGCGATATTTTTCGTCTAGTACTTCACAGTTGGCGACTGAGGTTTCTTTCGCAGTGAGCCTCCGTTTGCGTACCCCGTTCAGAGAAGTCATTCCCGGCTAAACTTTCAAACGAAACCAGTTTTAAGATGGACAGTATTTTGATTTGCACTCGTTTGTTGGTAAATCAAAAGGCACCTTGTTAGCGGTCAACAACTTGCAGAGGGATTCAACTCCGCGATAAACTCACATTAGTTCCGCAAATAAAGCAAATCCTGAGAAGATATGAACAACCATATGAATTTTCTGAATTTCCATAGCACATATTAAGGCATATTTTCCTACCATAAGACCATAAAACAATGAAAAAGACAGCAAAATCGACCCTTCCCTCCGCCGACAACGGATCATTCACGGAAACAACCACGCGAGGAATAAGCGCTTTCGCCCTGCTTTCAACTTCCGGCGTTTTCGACAGCCAATCAGATCTTGTGCCATTGTTCTAACAGCCAATCAGCGTTACGGCGAAAATCTGGCCGAACCAACACAAACGTGAGAGAGTTTACTGCCTCGTACCCAGACGTCTCTCTCTCTCGATGAAAATGTGCACGCAAAGGAAGGCGGGAAGGAAGTCCTTTGCGGTTCATCACCAGTCACTCCCGTTTCGCGCTCGCCTCTACGATGAGAAAAACGAAGCGCCTGAGGAGGAGGCTGGGCCAAATATGAGAACCGCTGAAATTGGGCCTGATCTCAGGTTATAGCCTGAGCATCAGGCCTTCCTAAGGGGCTAGGGGAGAGGAGATTTTAGATGGGGGAGGGGGAGAAGAGAAAGGAAGGCGTTTCTCTCCTTCAGCCCTCTCCCTTTTTCGCTTCCATCTTTCCACTTTTCCCCAGAAACGCCTCATACTCAGGCTATTTACAAGGTCAGGGTCGCCGTACTATCACAGCGCCGTACTGTACTGTATACCCCCTACTTGGTAGCCTGCGTACCAAGCGCAAGAAGGGGAGGGGGAAGGGGGGTTTCGAGCGCGAAAGAAAGGGAGTGGAGCGCTTGCAGCACGCCCATAGTTTTTTCCAAAGTCCGTTGTTTTTTGAAAATAAAAATTAAAGCAGGAATAAAATTGAACAAAGACGTATTAATTTCTCTGCGATTGATGATGTTGTTACTTTAATCTTTAAGGGTTTTGAAAGGGGCATCTACTCATCCTTTCTTCAACATTCAAGCAACTCTGATTACGTACTGATATCATCCCTAAAAGTGCCAAGACGATTCCTCTTACAGGTATCAAAAACCAAGCTATAATGAGAAAACTGTGACTGAAGACCATCCTTAGGTCTGTACAGTACCGCAAATGATCCCCAACCGCAAATGATCCCGAGACCGCAAATGATCCCCAAAATGGACCGCAAATGATCCTCGACCGCAAGTGATCCCCAAAAATGACCGCGAATGATCCCGTGAAAATTTGAGGAATGGAATGGATTTTATGGGACTGATTACAAAAAAGGACTGATTATAAAAAAAGAACTTTTTTCTCGCGCCTTCTAAAGAAAAAGGGAAGGAGGACGCTACATGCCAGGTCAATTTATACAAGGCGAAAAAAAAAAAGTAGAATAAATCTGAAAAGGATATGGTATCAACCGTATACTTCTTCTTTTGTCAATTACTTCAATTTTCTTTCGAGAATTGTTTCGTCGCTGAAAATTTAAGACAGGCAGGAGGTTACGCAGAAAAAACTCATTATTTGAACGCCCATGCTCAACTTGTCTACTGAGGAATACAAAGCCGGGCATCCTCTACATTACAAGAGCTTTATTGACTTTACTGATTTTTTTAGAAGTGTCGAATTAATTTTCAGAATATTTAGTTTTGATTTTTCTCTGAAGTGTTAATTTTACGTGATAAACAGCAAGACATTGGTTTTTAACTTAGGATTGCCCCAGGCCTGGGAGTGCCCGTTACGAAACAAGATATGATTTGAAATAAACACACGTCAAAATGCCCCCGGACTTATAAATGTCCACAGGTTTCGGTTTATTTCGAAAGGGCAACTTGCTTACAGCTCATGAACATCTTGCGAATAGTTATATTGACGCATGTATATCCATTTGTTGTGCCTTTGCTGGAGACAGTTACCAGGAATCTAAACCTGGTAATGAATTACGCAAAAGCGAGGCAAGCGGTAGTTATCGCGTGACAAAACATCGCAGGAACCGTCACATTCACGGACTAAAAGAAAGTCGCTTATAACCATTCGGATTCATGAGGCTTTTTAATATAATTAAACAACCTAAAACCCTTATTTAGCCGCAATGAAAAGCATTGCATTTCAAAAGAGGTCAAAAAGGAAATGCACTTGCATTAAAGGACAAATCATGCCGACCAGAAACAACAATAACCGCAGAAATGCGTGTCACGACCTGTTAGTATGAAATAAGCGGCAAAAATCAAATTTGGTCGGGAAAAAAGTTTTCCTTCAGAGGTATAATCTACCCGCCAGAGAAAAAATTCATTGGAACAAGCAGCATTTTAGCATAAGGTAAAAGTCGTGTGTTGCCTACCGACTTTGCTTTTACACTTCAATGATTTTTTCATTTAGTTTTTATTCATGTATTTATTTAAGAACTAAAATTTAGCGTTTAATCTTACTTTTTATAATAATAATAAAATCGACACGATGATCCGCTAACTCGAGTCTAAACCATTCCTATTTTTCTTTCGGGATCATTTGCGGTCGACTTTGGGGATCACTTGCGGTCGAGGATCATTTGCGGTCCATTTAGGGGATCATTTGCGGTCTCGGGATCATTTGCGGTTGGGGATCATTTGCGGTACTGTACAGGTCTCCAGAGTGCATAAGCAGAGCAGAGATAAATTGTTGGTCATACCTAAGATTGCGTTACATTTGATTACCAAACACAGGTTGCCAAATTGACAACTTTTGTTTTTATATTGGTTTTCTATTAAGTAATGATCCGGGTATTACGGTGGATAGCAATTTCTTTTGTTATGCGGCAACGGTGCTTTCCCCACATAGGAATGTTCTCATTTTTACACAGAGAATGCATAAACCTACATGAAGGCCGTTTACGCAATAAAATGCATTTACACTCCACTTTGAAAGGGTGTTTTTTGTGTTAAAAGATTTTGACCAATCACAAGAGTTGAAAACAATAGCCAAGAAAAGTTTACAATTTTACATGTTCCCCACATAGGATTTCTTTGTTATTCAAACTGAGACCAGATTTTGTTATATGGAAGATGGTTGGAAAGTAAGGATGAATATATGTACTGATTTATGAAGTTTTGTTAACTTTTGCTGTTTAAGCCAATCAGAAGTAAGTACAGACAATGGAAAAGTTAGCACCTTTTTCGCATTCCAACATGTTCGTTGCCGTTGCTGCTATCGTTCTTATCTGGACCGTTTCTTATATTTTTCCAATTGCCACGGCAACTGAAAAGGTATCAGCTTGCAATCCTGTTACCCATGATTGTCTTTTACAATGTCATTGTGAAAAAAATAGCCGAGGTCCTCATCATGACGATACTTTTCAATTCAGGGTGCCTATTCCAGAATAGGAATAGAAGGCATAATCCCTAGGATTCATTAAATGAATATTTTGTTTTTTGCATTCTGTGCAAAGTAGCTTATCGAAATCTACTTGAGGTAAGATTTTATGATACTATCAGCATTCCACAGTTCCAAAAATACAAGCAGATGAGAGTTGTAACAACTTTGGGGTATTCTTATTCCAGGAAAAATTCGAGACAAAAAATTAAATTTGGTCAATAACTAAATGAAGTGTCATGAAAGAAAGAAAAAACGCTGGTGAAAAAGTCCTAAATAAAATAGATCTCCCAACGGGCCTTGCACCCAATGTAGTAATGGCGTCCAATTTAAATATTCTTTTTTTACCTTGTGAAAACAGCCTGGCTAACCATGTTCTCAAAATAAAAATTCAAAAGAATGTATTATTTAGGGCCTGTTTACATGGAGGTGGGGGACCCCAGATAGGTGAGGTAACATGCGGCGGGTCACCCCACCTATCATGTAAACGTGATCAAATTAAAATGAGGGATTATGTGGACAGGCGGGTTACCCACCAAAGCGGGTTACCTCACCTGCCTGGGGTCCCCCACCTCTATGTAAACAGGCCCTTAAAAAGAGGTTACTCAGGGTGATTTTTAAAATAAACCAAAGAATATTAAACTGGTGGCAATTTTTGCATTGGATGTACGATATTATTCATTTCAATGTACGTGAACAATTTGACGATTTACTACAAAAAAAGGTCAGCAACTTCATGCAAACTCACAGAGAAATATCTGATAGACATTTCCTTATCGTAAATTGGAAACTCTGATGGTCCATAATATTCTTCAATTTAATTAACAGGAACAATTCGACGTATTAACCATTCATAAATAAAAAAATTGGTCAACAGCTTTAGCAAAAATGATTTACAGGTACCTTGATATCTGTCAATAAAATAATATTTCTTGTAATGAATGGTTCTACAGTAGTGATGCCACATTTTCTTGAAAAAGAAGTACATTCTATAATAATTCATTCTGTGCAAAATATTTAAAAAAACAATAATATTAACTTAACCAGGAGATGCACTTTTTTGTTTCAAGATCTATTTTTGATATTTAGCAATTACTAGTAGTTAACGAAAAATAGATAACTGTGACATAAACATAGAGAGATCTAGCAGTTAACGAAAAATGAATAACTGCAAGATTGGTGTTCCTTCACATAAACAGAGAGAAATTTCGCAGTTCACGAAAAACATAGTTAAGTGCGAGATTTCAGTTTTTTTAGTACAAACAGACAGAAATTTCGCAGTAAACGAAAAATTGTTTAAGTGCGAGAGTTTTTTTTTACTATAAACAGAGAGGAATTTCGCAGTTAAGGAAAAAGTGCGAGATTTGTCTGTCATTCCTAAACAATAGGTAAAACAATGTAACTTCTATGTCGACCAATATTCAATAATGTACATTTCATGTGATAAGGTAAGCTTTGGGAAAATTTTTATTACTGACGTGTAAAAGAAGTGACCATTCTGATCATGTTGACTTCAGAAATGTAAGCAAGAGCTCCCTCTCTCCATTAATACCCCACTCCTCTCCTACGATATGCAGGATACTAGCATGCAAATACAGCCCCTTCAGAAACTCCATACTGATGACGTAATATCAGTACGGAATCTGGTCAGGAAATCTGATTTGGTTGACATAGTACTGTAGTTACATTGTTTTACCTATTGTTTAGGAATGAGAGAGAAGACAAAAGGCCACAAAGGTCGAATGTAAACCGGGTTGTAAAGATCATGAATCTACCACAAAACAGTCAATAGTTCTGGGCTGAGTTGCTCAAAGCATGTTTAGCTTTAACCATTGGTTAAGCAGTATCAAAACCAATACGTTGTCAAGGTATTAAACGCTGGTTAACGCTAACCATGCTTCGAGCAACTGGGCCCTGAAATATGACCTTCTTTAGACAAAGCATCTGAGTTTTGCTGGAGCTCGTTCGCAGTAGAACACACAACTTCACCATGACCGACCAAGAGAAACATAAAATAAAACAAATTTACAATAACCCCATGACTACTGGATTTATTATGTAAACATTGATTTACGTCATCAGTATGTAATTTCTGTCACTGAGGCACAGACGTTCCTCCTGGCGAAATATCCGTTGCGGCGAAAAGCAAGAAGAAACGGCTGTATTCACAGGCTACTCAAAAACCAGCATTTTCAAATTCCAATTTGACCGAAAATTGGGTAGACTAAGAACTACCAACTGGATGTGCTACCTCTACATCTTTATTTTACTTATTTACCCTTCTTCGTGGGAACACAAAGTAAAAAAAAGCACAGTAGATGAAGTAAAGCAGAAATTGGCAAACAAATCTCGCATATTTTATTCACATGTGCTGATGAATACAAGTGGTAAGGTTGTGATGGCAGCAATTGTTACAGTTTCTAATAAGCAGAAATTAGCACTAAGTAAAATTAAGTCATGGAGAAAAGATCTAATGGAGGGAAAAAAAACTAAAATAAGTAACAAATTCTAAAACAGTACTGTCATTACTCAGGTTCTCAACAGGCTAGTGGTAGAATGATCATTGGCTAATAAATGCAGCTGTTTTTTTATTGATTCTGGCTGGACAAGTAGCAGCTATGATGCCACAACACTCTCAGAATGATTTGCTGGATTACCAACAAGGCCCTTAACAACAGAGTTGTTAACATACAGGCCCTAACAACAATAACAGGTGTTATTACAAGGACCATTGAAAATAGAAGTGTTTGAAGATTAATGGCTCTAACAGCCGCTTGGAAAATAGGAAGCTATAATCATGTTCTGCTAAGGCTGTGTTTACATTGTACTCTGGTACTGTGAGATACTTTGATAGAGATATGGTGGGTATATGAATTTGTAAGATTGGAACATAAATTTACACTGAAATCAGGATACACCGTACTGATAGAGCCTACTAGCAAGCTCTCATTTTCACATGCTGCTTGCATGAGACTTCTCTCACGATATCCCCTATGGAGCCATTGCTTGCATGCTACATACTGATGTAAAGTTACAACCTTTTGTCTTATTTTTTACATGAAATAAGAAAAACACATTTGTCACTCATATTTCCTTCAAAAATCACTTCACTCTTGTAGAGCAAATGTATATAAAGACAACTTCAACCTGTCTTAAAAGCCAAAAACAAAACATCTCTATTACAGTGTCCCAGATATAGATGGTACAGAGTAAAATGTTCTCACAATCCACTGCAAACACATTAGAGCCTCAGAAATCTTGCTTCCCACCTTCTACCCAACCAATCCTAGCTGAGATCCTGATAGCATCAGCTTCGACTATTTCAGCAGTTACTTATGTTGTGGTTCTACTTTATCTTTGAATGAAATGGTATTTTCCTTTTTTTCATGCTCACCATAAAACATTACTATTCCCACCACCACTTAAAAAAACCCCTAAACCACAGATAAAATTGAACCACAACACTTACATTAGTTTATTATCTACACATAAGGTAAGGCTTGTCTGTCACATACCAAGTTATCACTAATTTATGACAATTTGGTCAATGCGGTAACCTGCTGCTTATAAGCCCTGGGGTGACACATCTTTGCAAGGTTTTTCAGGAGGGCAGGGGTGTATATCAGAGGAGGCTTAAAACGAGCATAGGAAAAGAGCCTCAAAAACAAGCTATAGCAGAGCTAATCAAAATATGTTTTACATTTATAATCAGATGCATTTTTTTTGGTTTACAGGTAGACAGGCCTATAACTAAGAAGGGGGGAAGCGGAGGGCTTATAAGCCGCAGTTTACAGTACTTGTATTAGTTACATGGCTGTACCAGCAGGGGTCATTGTTTTATTCTAGAACCTAAGGATTTAGAACTGAAGACAGGCCAAGTGCTAATTGCCACCTCACAAAGTGGAAAAAAAAACAACTTTGTAATAGTTGTTATTCTCCATGGGAAATTGACATTTCCACAAATAAAAAATTAAGGTTAAAACATGAAAAAAAAAATCACCTATGTTACATAATTGGTTTCAGGAACCCCACAACAGATGACATTTTACCACTCAAAAACCAACACATAAGTGGAGCGTAAGAGCAACAATATTTGCATTTTGGACAAGCTGGCAAAAAAAAAAGGATGCAAAGGCATTGAAAGATTCACAGTTACACTAAGGTCACTTAAATAAAACCTTTACAATTGCAATTTACAAATGTAGCCATTGTTTGAAAGTCTAAAAACAACAGCCACACTAGTAAATCACGCTCATAAAAGTTTCCTAAGAATAGCCAAAAAGGGGTCAATTCACAACTTCATTAATAATTTTGCACTACCTGTCCAAAGACAAACTTCCAGTGTTAAAGCAGGGTGTTTGCTTAAATATTAAGAAAATGGAGAAGCAGACAAACAAAACAAAACAGAGGTAAAATACCCAGTACATGTATAGACAGTAAAAAAAATTTTCTCAAAAAACAGCACATTGTGAAATATGCTTTGTTAGCACAAAACATGACAAAAGAGATTACCTATAAATTGTCACACAGCCAGTAAAAAGCAAAATGAACAATTTTCCACCCAGTTAAAGTTTTTCAAGGTGAAAGATCACCATTTTGCTGCAGATATGAAAAGATTATGTGTTCATAAAAGTAAAACTAACTAATCAGGACAAACGATTTGTTGACAACTTAGGACTGAATCTAAACTGGTTAACTCTCTCTTGGAGCAAGTTCATGCTTGTGGATTAAAAACTTGTATCTCATGCCAGCTCAAAGCTTGTGAACCAATTTATCATACTTAGTGGAAAACGTTCAGCTGTCACAGCTGAATACAGCAAAGTAGTGGTATTTTATAATCATTTTATTAAGAACTTTGAAACCAGTCACTCGATGTCACTGCATATGAGTGGGTTCAGAGTTTGAAAAAAATTCTTCAGACTCACGATAAAAATACTGCGACTTTGACTAAAACAGGTGTCAAGTTTTTAAGACTGGGTCTTAAATGTTATGCAAAATACTAAACAAATTTTCTTGTTTTGACACATGCAAATGTGGCTTATAAAATAATTTTGCACCTTTACTCAGAGACCCAGTCAATTTTAGACTAAAATGAGAGTCAATACCAAAATATAGGGACAAAATAAATTTGATTATGGGTTACAAAAAGTTAGGCAATGAGTTAGTACTTTCAAGCTTGAAGTATCTTAATCCAGACATGCATACTGCAAAGAGAATCTTAACTATGAAAATGACATCATTATAATGAACATTACAGAAAAATGAAAAATGGCTAATTTTGAGAACCTCTTAAAACGATCACTCCCTATAGGAAAAGAAAACAAACAGGAGACACAAGTCTAACAAATTACAGTATACTCAAAAAATAAAGCAAACGTTGTTCACAATGCCAGGCTTATGAATTTGACGACACACTACTGTACATATCCAGAAAAAAATAAAGTAATGCTCACTGATCTTGCCGAAGAAAAAATAACAATATATTATATTCATTTGTATGTACGTATTGGCGCCATGTGTTAGTGAGAAGAAATAAAATAGTACAAAATATGGTGAATCATAAATTATTGATTACCCTTTAAATCCACCTAAAAACCTTTATGCACAAATAAAAGAGTAATCACTAAATGTAAATATATCCTACAATAAGAATGAATTTGTGACTGGGTATTGTAAAGGAATTTAACGTAGGTGAGGAAAAAACACTAATATTTTCATGATGATAGATTTAATACAGTCTAATATAATCAACTGTGAAACCTACAGCAATTTTATCATCAAGCATGAGGAGCAGTACATGTACCAAACAAATGGACTGTTACAACATTCATATTATCGGCTGATCACACAGGGTTCTAGAAATATTATATTTAGCAATAGCATTCCTCGTCTAATCTTAGTCATTAATATTGCTCTATATGTGTATGGACATAATCATGCAAGGTCAGCTTCACTAATGCAGAATCAAATAAACTCATTATTGTTAGTAAATAGTCATTTGCATTATCATTTTCTTCCCTGTATAACAAAATTACTCCTCCATGTCACATTTGTCATTTTGTTTCCTGCGTTGAATTCTTAAGGACTTTATACAGGTTTTAACCCTTCAAGTCCCAAAGGTGACCAACATCAATTTTCTCCCAACAATATTCATACTTTGCCAAAAGATAAAGTTATGAGAATTTATGAAATGATCACTAAAGAGAAAATGCTTTGATCTGATAACAAATTCTCTCAACTAATTCTTGAAGGAAATGTATGGAGATCAATTTGGAGAATTTGTATGTGGATATTGGGGCTTAAAGGGTTAAAAGAGAAAGGAAAATTTGTCGTTATATGTTCTAGTCCTCCAGAAAATTCCACAATATGAGGTTTTACCTCATTTTGCAGTGAATGCCAAAGAAATGTATTAAATCGTGTGATGCTTGTGTAGAGCTGCTGTTTTTCTCATAAAGCCAATTATTTTTCTGACGCCATTGCCATTGTTGTTGTGGTTGCTCAACCCTTTAAGTCCCAAGAATGACCAAAATAAAATTATTTCATAACAACATCAATACAAAGTAAAAAAAAATGGTTATGGAAACTAATAAGATGCAAGAAATGTAAATATTGTATTTAATTTTTTATCTCAGGTAATTTGTATTTTTCCTTTGTTTCAACTTCATTGGCATACATTACCATAACCACAAACAAAAGAAAAACAAAAATTACCAAAGATAAAAAATTAACTGCAACATCCACACCAGTCTGGAGAGTTTGAGTGTCGATATTGGGGATTATAAGGGTGAAGCTCCCCAGTGACAACGAATATGCTGTAATTCATGGGAAGAAACTTAAAAAGAGCAATTTTGCATACAGGGAATGGCATTGATTACGTAAATGGGGTGATTATTTACATATACACAACTTTTGTATTGTTACATTAACACTCTCAATCAAGATGATTAAATACCCGGTACTCTTTTATTCCTGTACAACAAAAGGTCCCCTTTGATTATTTTACCTCACAAACACTTGGGTGATGTTTACACTGTCCAAGCACTCGCCGTTCTGTCCAAATGCTGTGACAAGGACATCAGAAAAGCACTTTGGACTGTCAAAAGTTGGTGTGGGATCCACTCCGATGATAAGCGGTTCCAAATTGTCTTTTATGAGAACATCAACACCATACACGGCACAAAGATCTCTTCCCGTGCGGCTGCCATCTTGTAAAGAGCACAGACTTGGTGCCACAGCATAAAACAACTTACCAATGCTCTTGTAAATCTTTGCCTGAACATCGTCCCATGACATTTTCCCCTTGACCAAGTAATTTGCACTGAAGTCTGCTAAAAATTCGCTGTGTGTCATCTTGTGGTTGACCACCCCATTATGCTTTACATCTGACGTGGATGAAAGAAGAGCTGAAGAATCATATTCATCTAAGAATTGATTCTGGTTTATCTCCCTCTCTGCCAGCTTGACGTGTGGAGTATTTTGCACAAGGACCTCTAATGGCACCAGCGATTTCACTGTTACTGCATACTGTAGACAGAATCGTCTCTTCTTGCTGATTGCTGTTCGAGCACAATCTAAAATATAGTTGAACATATAATGTTAGCTAAACTTTTGCTTCCAATGGCAACATTTTACACTGATTATGGTGGCAGAACTCCCAGATCAAAAATAACAGAAAAATGTCCTTTTTCCTTAAAAAGTTTTACTAAATCTACATGCATGCTCAAGACTAAAGGATAAATGCCTAATTGTAATTAAGGGGAAGTTAACAATGAAACAATGCTGGCCAGCAGTATCTTTCACTAATCATATGCAATGTATGTAAGTAGGGGGATAAACTTAAGACCTTGTTCAGAGCCAACAGCGTTGTCCTAGCATTGTTCTACTTACAGTACGAAGCCACCAAATGGCCCATCTCTGTGCACCTCAAAACCCTGCGCAGATCACTGGTGACAATTGGTTGTAAACTGAAGGAACTTGGATCTGCTGCTCGTAAAATCCAGTAGCTGGAGATTGCTCTGCAGTAATGGTCAGCACACAAAGCTGATAAATGGATAGACATGTCATATGACATGGGGAACCAGGGTACATTTCCCCAAGTCTCCTGCACATGAGCAGCTAACAGATGGCGATGCAAAAGGTTTTCCTCCCCTCCAAGTCGGTTGATTCTTGCATTATTTTGGATTCTTTGCCCCAAAACATTCCATTTTTCTAACCACAGAGCTTCAGCTTCTGTTAAAGACTCTACAAGAGTACAACCCAAATCTCTCAAAACTGGCTTCTTCTCCCGGCCATTCTTTTCCAAAAAGAACTTTAAGTTTAATTTTTTAGCCTTCAAAAGGGAACAGTTGACACTTTCAGGCTGTGTTGATAACGACTTGACATCTACCACCATATTGTTCTCTCTTGGTAACGAAGGAAATTTTGCCAGATCAACCACAAAATGACTTGGACTAACATCAGGTAACGACGAACTAAAAGCTAAAAGACGGGCTTCTCTTTGTAACTGTGGTTCTGCCATACTCAAATGAGGACAAAAATTTCTAGTGCAAACATCGCCAACATTTATGTCTTCTAGAGGCCAAAGGAGAGAATAGAACACCCCAGTCACAGCAAAAGCAAATGGTGAGCACTTGACATTAGGATGACTGGAGTGAACAACAGCTGATCCGCATTCATCCATCACATACCAAACAGGTGCTTGCTTGACTCCATCTGGACCGACTGCTGAATAGGTCTGGTTGTAGTACCACATATTCTCCAACACGTCATGCCTATCACAGTCTGCTTTCTGACCCTCGTCTCTAGCCTGATCTGAAATTTCCTTTTCTGTCAGGTGTTTCTCGCCTTTAATTAAAACCTGATAAGCAAGAAGAACAATTATTACATAATAAAAAAATATATCATTTTTAATTGACACTTTGCAAGTAAACAATATTTATTAGTCAGTACAAAAACAAATTCACTGAAGTCTGTACCATTTTGTTTCATCCACTATCACAGTGACTTCGAATTCCCTTTCCTTTTTTCTTTGGTTTTTTAGTCGCCATGCATTCTCACTAATAAGGCTGCAATGTCTCCCTCCGTGAGCAAGGAAGTTTGTTTTTCTTTTGGCAAACACAAACTTTGCCAAAATTAGGTGCCATTTATTCATAGAGTACAATTTGCAGTCATAACAGATTTGAAATATCCAACTAGAACTTACAAAGCTAGTCTTAAATCAGGGGAAAATATTCTCCCATAAGCACCTAAAAAATCAACTACATATCAGAGTCTTGACCCAAGGTCACCTTTTGGAATTTAGCAAAAATGAATCCCTTACAAAATTGCTTTTAATGAAACAGAGAATATTATTTTACCAGCATCTAATCAATGTTGTACATGTACACCTTTAAGAAATAAGAATAACAATAATATTATCAATGCTCTCTTTAAAAAAATTTTTGGAGGGATATATATCAGAATCCATTCAACATCATCATTTTCAAACATCTTTAATAAAAGAAAACTTGACTTTGGAGGTACATGTATTTGCTGAATATAAAAAGCCAAGCTATATCTCTCTCAAAAGATAGAAATCTACAGTTTCCTCCAGAGGTCAATTTTAAAAGCACATGAGCAATAAAGTACAGCTAAGCAGCTTTGACTTAAGTGGTTGCACTTACGGATTTAACATTAATGCAAGACCCTTTTGACAAAGACAACAGGAGTGCAAAGCGTGTTATAAAAATCTAATTTGTCAGCTTTTTGTGAAACTCTGCTGCTACCTATCAATAAAATGACTTACAACAATGCAAAAAACCTATTCATTTTACCCTGAATGCGAAAAATGCAAGCTGATGATTGTCATCCATATGTCATTTCAACACACGGATTGTCTCCCTGCAATTCACGCATTCCAGCTTTTGTTACAAAGAAAATTTATTCATTTGCCATTGAGGCTTTCAACTGAGACCTAAACACGAGGAGATACTGTAAGACAACATGTCGAGATGAATCCTTCAGCGTGATTCATCAGTCACCATGGGAAGTCAAATATGTGATTTATTTCCCCATAACGTTTTTACGGATATTTTCAGTAGGGTGTTACTGTGTGTTATCAAAGGCTATTATACCCCTATATGCAACATTTATTTCTCACATGGCAATCAGGTGTGGTTTTGTAACACCAAGACCTACTCCCTTGAGAAGTGAATATTTATTTAGCTGTGTTTTAAAGTGTTTGTTTTGCGATCAAAGAAAAACGAAACGAAATACTAACTATGCAAGATGGCAAAAATTTCTTAGTGAGAAAAAATTCTCTGGTATTTCAAAATTCTTATCTGAGAAAACAAAACGAAGACAACAGAACTGATTGCAGAAATACAAAACGACATCACGTATAGCAATATGCTTGAGGCCTGTAAATTTGTACACAATGTAACGAGATGGACATACGAATATCAGAAATGATTAAGGAATCAGTTTTTAACCACTTGAAAGTTGATGGCAAAGCCACTCAAGAAAAAACATCAAATTTTCTGTTTAGGATAATATTGGCTTCAATAACTAAAGTGAGCTTCATCAAACTTGTCGCTGTTCAGAAGTTAAATATAATTAGTTCATAAATACCTTGTAGCAAACAGTTGAGATCGCGATTTGACGCCGCGATAGAAAAATGCGAAAAATATGCACCTCTTGAAATGAATAAGCCGTGTCACGCTTTGCTAGGCGCTTGGCGCTAAAAATTGTAAGATAAATTTAAAACTTACTGGCCATAACTCAGCTTCTTCATTCTCCGGTTTCTGCAAAGTCATAACCAACAAACCGGGACAATCAAACGTCCAAAACGATTCATCGGGGCAAACATTTCCGTAAAACTCTCCATCAATAATAGGCGGAAAACCTTTCAAGCCCAAAGTCCATCGTTTCGTTGTCAATTTGTTTACAACATCTCGCTTTTTGGTCGTTACTGGAATCGAAACAAAAACAGCCATCGAGCCCTCGTCTTCTTCGAGCCAACTATACTGCGCGGTTGTTCCTTTTCCGAAGCACAAAGAGTCTGGGTATTGCTCCTTCTCTCGTTTGTACCTTAAGTACATTTTCTCCACGTATTCCTTAGAGAGAAGCTTTGCTTTTTCCATTCCAACCGAGTGAAGGAAGCCCGTCTTGAATTCCTCGAAGGCCATAATTTTTGACCTGTCTGATTTCGATGGCTTTTTACTTTCATAAGAATCGTCCGTGATTTGACACAAGGCCTCGATTAGATCACTGCCACTCGCTTGAAGAGCTTCTTCAGCTTTCTTCTTTTCTATTCCGGTAATTTGTGAAAGAACCAGGGAGCTGTCTAGCAGAGATTCGTCGCTCGAGGCAATTTCGCTAGCGCTGTTTTCAGGGCGTTGCATAATTTCCTTCATCCTCGCCAAAAGTTCTGGCGATTTTTCCAAATTCTTCTTTGCTGTCGAGCCTCCATCACTCGACCAGGCGTGCTCAATAAGAAACACGTCGCTGAATTTCTGCAAAGCACGTTTAGCGTGAAGAGACCAACGACCCGGGGAACCAAATTGTCCTCCTTCGCGAACCTCAAAACCTCTGCTGTGTCACAGCTTGCAATAGGAGTTAGCTTTTTGTAAAGCCTTTCCCATAATTGCTCGGGTAAGCCGATGGAAAGAAACTGAGGTCGATGTAAAGTAAAGAAATCTTCGCAGCTAATGCACGTGGTCTTCGCCGTACTATTAGACGCCATCTTCACTCCTCCCAACAATTGCTTTGCCTCTGCTCAAATTCAGTGAACTGATCTATATCAAATTCTCAATACTTGATAAAAACTGCTGCTATTGAAGTATGTAAGGAGAAAAAATTTGTCGATCAACGAGTCACCCGTGCCAGTCTCCGCTGAGAAAATTCGTCACCAGACGAGACGAAACAGGGAAGAACGTATGAATATTCGAAAGAAATTATGATGGAGGTCGAAGACCCCTACAACATTGGAGGATTCAGCAGCTCAGACGATGACCAAAACGAGAGGTACTTCAGTTAATCACAGCTTTTGCGACTAATACGCGAAATTATATTACCGCCGCCCGGTTGAAAATTTGTTTGACACAAACACTTGAGTGATTTCTTGTTTCCTGAAATTTCACAGACGGCCATCTAACAACGTCGATTATACCTGTGGATTTATCGATCATTTAATTTGGTTGGTCGCGTTCTATGGCTTGCTTATATGCCGGTTAACCTTTTATAAACCCATTTTATTGCGAAAGCATGCAGAAAGAATGTTCAATCTACGTTGTATTGACGTAAAATCAAAACCACGCGTACTGAGGCGTCAATTTCCAAGTTGAGTAGGGGGATAGGAATGATAAGGATGTTTATAACTTAGGCAGCTGTTACTGACATCTCTTTTCTTTGGCCCACGGGTGGAAAATGCAGAGTTGACACATTTTGTGAGTGCTTTCCATTTGCCCAACAGTGTCATGTTCGCACGGTGGCCACTTGTTATAGACCCCAATAATAATAATAATAATAGTAATGAAAAAATAAAAAAACTGAGAAAAACTGATAAAAGACCCTGCACCTGTGCCATACATACAAATCTTACAAAATGTTTTAATTAATGTTTCATATTTCATGTTTTTTTTTTCTCACATAGAGTGAACATTCCATTTATTGGAATACGATGATTTATCTTGTCTTTCCTGTGAACACTCTCCCTTGCCCATACCTGAGGCATATAACGCCTGCTTCAGCCCATACTAATAACATTACTAATCATTAACATTATTATTTATTATTATTATTATTATTATTATTTTCATTATTATCATTATCATCATCAAAATGATCATTGCCATCATCAAGATGACCCTAAGTTGATTTAAGAAAACAAAAGTCACACCCCTTTCTTTCAACTCCCTTGTTATGAATTATCCTCCTTTGAATAAGCACCAGAACTCCGCACATGTTTACGTGCATCTAAAGTCACATGTTCCTTTAAAATTTATGTCATGGGTCCTTATTCTACGTGCTCCTCAGTCTATAAATCCAGAAACTGACATGAATAGAATCTCACATAAAAATATTAGACAAAAATAATAACCACATGGGGATGATGGGAGAGCAGAAAGGGTGGTCCTCCTTCCTCTTCGCCTCCCATCGCCTTGCATGCTCCTTTCCCCCCCCCCAGCCTCCTAGTGACGCAGATGTGGGAGGAGAGAGGAACACGGCACTCGGCGGTGTTGATTGAAACTTTTTTGGATGGCCCCCTTATACATGTATAATTGTACCTTCAGTTACACTGGCAGAAATGTTTGATAGCCCTCCTAAAATCTAACCTGAAAAACCCATGCCCCGCCCCAAAAGAAAAAATCGCGATTATGAACCCTGCCTTAATGTAATTTTTGATTGTGTTGATGTTTTACTAAACCTTGTGATCCTTGGTTGGTGATTTTAAACTTATGTTATTTTCATTCTCTTTTGGACTATAATCCTTAAGTTCTGAGGATGAACTTGGAATGGAAGATTTATTAAAACATCAAAAACAACAGTCACACTCTAGCAGTGAAGATGAGTTTGAAAAAGAAATGGAGATGGAGATGGAAAATGTGATGAAGGCCTATGAAGATAAACATGGTAAGTTTTAATAAAGAACGTGTCTTTGGCTGTGGCTTCCATTTACCAGGAAATTCTGGATGGGATGCACATGGTACACATGTTTTTCTACACTTAGAAACAGACATTCAGAACCGAACGTCAGAAAAATTTGCCAAGTATGCGACAATATTTTATCTTTTTATATCAGATCTCGGATTTCAGATTTTATGATTCTTTTACTGCGAAACTCACAAAACGACAAACACCAGAAATACCAGGAAAGTTATTTTGTTTTGAGGAAAAAGCCAAAAGGGTGTGAGCAAAGTAAACTGCAAACAGCAATGCAACAGTTATTAGTTTGTGGTTTTGAGGTTTGCTTGTAGGTCGTTAACTCAGTCTTGTAATAATTACTTATTGTAATAATTATTATTGGTCATCAATTTAGGTGCTCATGGTTTTCTGAGTTTGATGTAATTTATTGTAATGTTCCAGTATAGTTGATGGTTTTCATCATAATTACATGTTAGGTCAGAAGACACTTATGATTAAGTCTGGCTTCCAGTTGACTCTTTCTTCAATAATAAGAAATAGTAGAAAAAATATTGTTTCTTATCATAAGGAACACCACACATTTTTTTAAATAATTAAAATTAGCCAATTAAAAATTAACTGCCATTAAAATTTGAACAGTAAGATTTTTTTTACAAGAAATGTGGAGCAAATTATCACTAAAAATAGATACAAGTATAAGACAAGCAGTTGCTATTCAAGAAAAAGTAAACTGTAAATTTGGAGCTAAGAACTAAAATATAATTGTGACAGTGTAAACATCTCTAACGATGGTATGAAGAACTAATTTAAACATATTTTCAAGGAAGATTAGTTTCCTGGGAATTGTAACTGGACATCTGCCCAGTTGAATTCACTCAAAACTTGAGTCTGTCTTTTGAAAAGATACAGTACTTGCCAGTTTGGCTCCACTTTGGCTAGGATGTTATTTTATCCAAAAGTAATTTTTGAAAATTTCGTGGTGATTTTTGTTAATGCACAAGTTTTTTTTTTTAATTTTAGTTTTAAAAGTAACACCTCATTCCTTTGACACTGGTCTTATGGCTGACTGATCTCCAATTTAAGCTATTAACTGGCAATCAAATAATAAAAGCATTTCTTGGTGGCTGCTCTCCATATGGTTTTTTTTTGTGATACTGATGAGAAGTTTTTAAAATCATTTCTCATTTTTGAAATGGGTCAAAATTTAATTCAGGTTTCAGTGGTTTAGACCTAGTTTGATCCACAGCTTCCTTTTTCATGAAGCCTAATTGCTAATGATAAGTTGTTGCTAAAAAGCCCCCCAGT